CTTTTATTTTATTCCTTTAGCTTATTCCATGGTAGAAGGTCAACCTTTCAAAACTCGATCAACATAATGCTGATTCCACATCAAAGTCTTACATTTATACTTATGGACATACATGTGAAGTTGTAAATGACATTTATAATGTTTTCAATTGCACTGATTTCAATCTCAAGTCAGCCTAGATGTTAACAAACCAAACGAGATAAGATTACAGTAGAACATATCAGGCCGAACCTAATTAGACATGAACAATTTTAAAATACAAATTCACAAGCCATTTATCAAACTTAAACTACCCTGATCAAAATAATTTTATTTTTAGAAATCTTATAGATGTATATTCATGTCATATTAAAGATCATAAAAAATATTTAATTTGACATTTTTAGTGGAACATATTTTTTGTTAAAATAGGAACACAAATGAAATAGTTATAATGTTTTATAAAAATAATAATTATATGCCACATGGGTGAAAACTATTGGAAGGAGCATAAATTTTAAAATTGATTGTAATTGATAGTGCATTGGCATGATCGAACTCGTATTAGCATGAAGTTATTTTGATTTTAATTAAACAAAGGATAAATTAGTCTTAGTAGAGTTACATTAAGTAATAATTGTGGTGCGCCAAGCAACACCCTTTTGGTTTGAAAATATGATGGAATAAAGAAAAATGATTCACTAAACTGTGTGCGCTTCTTTATTATGAAGCAACGGCCAGTCCAAGCAATTTTGGACGCGATCTTCACTATGGTTCATCCGGAAACAGTCTCTCTGTGCTGTAATACAGGGATAAGACTGCGTACATCCGACCTCTCCTTACCCCACCATAGGTGGGAGGGAGCCTTTGCGACACTGGGGTAATGATGATGATGGTGATGATATTTGTAAATCCCCTGCTGCTTATATATATCTAATACATATGTAATAATAGAAATATTGAAATAAACCCACACGGGTAGCTCAGTTGGTTGAGTGGTGGGAAAGTTGGAAGAATGATCACAGATTGAATCTCGCACTGCCCATGTGGAGGTTACAACTCATGTGTGCTGGGCTAGATCTCTGGTGCACACGGGTACAAAGTGTACCACCATTGAGTCGATTAAGTCACCGTGACTAACATCTTTCCAAAAAGTCTTCTTGGGTCAGAGCGGGGGCCCTTGGAGTTGAGGATTCAACCTTTTGTTAGAAATATTGAAATAAATCTCAGTGTCCACACACTACTATTGCCAATCAACCCAATAAATAGTAGGATTCCCAGTCTAATATTTTCGTTGCATTTTCATCTTGTGTAATTTCTAGTATATAAGTGCTTGGTCCAAAAAGTTGAATGCCCAACTCCAAGGTCCCCCACCCCGACTCGATAAGATGGTGGGGAGGTTAATCACGGTGACTCAGTCAGCAGAGCAGCGGTAGGCCTTATACACGTGCGCATCAGAGGTCCAACCTTATTTGAGGTTCTGTAACCTCCAAGTCCTTGGTATAACTCACTTTATACTTTCCTTGTAACATATGCTATGTTTTGTTGTAAACAGTGTCATAAAAGATGTAAACATATATGAACGATGTGTAATAGATTTTAATACAAATAAGAATTTTCCATATAAATATCCCCCTCTCCTAAAATTTTGTCACATTTGAAAGATGATAGTTGTATTTTCATCATTTGTGCTTCTCTTTTTTCTCACGTAAAGATCAAATCATTAGTGAAGGGAGAAGACGAAAGACATGTGGTGGATTTGTGGTGACTATTCCACTCTTTCAATAGTGAAAAGGAATTTTATGGGGTTTCTCCCGGAGTACATCTTAACGAGCTTGCTTTAATACTCCTCCCTCTTTTATAATTTTGTCATCTTTCTTTGTTTGGTATTTACAAAACTTTGTCACTTTTCCTTTAAATCAATGAATTTGTGGTTCATGTTATTTCTCTCTCCTCTGCACATATCGTAAGCACGCCCTTTTTATTTTATTATTTCTCGTGTCGATCAAACATGATAAAATATTGATGTACGAAAGAAGTAGTCCGTATGATTTAGATCGATGGCTTCATCTTCAATCTTTTTTATTTTGAGGTTCTTAGAGCAAATCTTTGTTTGTTAGATATGTGTGTCCCAGTGTCTCCCTAGTGCGTTGTTTCAAGAAAGTCTGAAATCTCTTTGGTGCTTTTACGTTGGATCACTCTTGAAAACTCATTACTAATTCTTTAAAGAAATGTATGGGACTCTTTTCCACATCATTTAGCTTGTTCCTTACCTTCATAATTCTCCATTATCTTTCAATTGGAGACTTGGAGTAGTTATCACCACTAAAAACAAAGGATTTGAAATATTTTTACAAGTCAATGACTCTATCTATTAAAAAAGGAAAAATGGCCAGATAGAGCTTCGAACTTACAAAAAAATGTCAAATAAGATCTTGTATAAGAGGTTCTGTCCGGCCGATGCCATTTGGGGTGGTTCCCCGTGGCATTTTTCAATGAAATTTTTTGAGTATCTTATTCATTAAGTCTAGTTTACTCATACTAATTTTCAGCTAAAACTTCAATCGAAAAAACATTCAAATAAATTCTTAAAGATAAGTGCGCATTCAAAGGTATTGGAGTTCGCAAGAATGGTCGTAAGGATGACCATCTCTCTTTGTATCTCCAAGCGGAAAGTTAAGCTCAGACTAAGGAACACAGTTACGTAAATCGGCATACTTGCCACAATCTGAGTTCTAGACCGCACTTTCATGATCGCGGCACACTAACACATCACACGCCTCTAGGTTGCGACTTTGGCATGATGGTTTCCATCGTAGTTCGCGCAAAAACTCCGAGCGGTACAAAGTATTACGTTAACCGTTCACATGTTTCCTCCAGCGAAACGATGAGCTAATAGTCCAATAGACACATGCTTTGGTTGAGGACTTTGTTCTTCTAAGCCACGTAGACTTTAGTCAACGACTTGGTTATTCCAAACGACGCACTATGTATTTATTGCTCCAAACGATGATCTTTTGAAATAATGGATAGAAGTATGGTTGATTTGAAAGTCATAAGAGGGGTGTGTGCAAACGGTTTTTGTGCAATCCTCAATTGAATGAAATAATCAGTGCAATCAACAAAGCACCCACAAATTATAAGGATCCATCAAGTGAGAAAACAAAGTTTGTTTTGCTTGAGGAATGCATTAGATATGTGGAAAAGGAGCCAACATTGGTTAAAGATACTTGATATTCACAAGATGATTCTATCATATCAGATTGGCGGTGTAATATCAAGCATACACCCTTGATCAATGTGATTGAAGTAAACAGTCGTGGTGCAATGTTCATGTATACTGAGGACTTCTCTAGATTGGAAAAAACTGTGTGACAATTGCAAATTTCTTGTTTGGAGCAATTGAAATTGTAGGACTAAGCAGTATCCTTCATGTTGTGATTGACAATGCAGCGAATTGCAAAGCTGCTGGTTTGGAAATTGAAAAGGTAAACAAACAAATATTTTGTTCATGCCTTGAGTTTGATTTTAAAAAATCTTACAAAGGAACTTGATTAGTTGATGAATACATATAGGAGTGGGAAATAAATCGTGAAGTATTTTCTTAATTACACCAAAGCATTGAATTTTTTAGAGACAATTAAAAGTTGGAGTTGATAAAAGTTGTCAAGACTAGGTTTGCATATCATTACATTTTACTGAAACGATGAAGGGATTTTAGAGAGGCTCTTGATACGACTATTACCCTTAATTCTTGGAAGGATTGAGTAAAACAGGGGAGCGAAGAATTTTGGGATGATGTTGATAGCATTCTTGCAATAACAAAGCCAATTTTCTTGTTAATCAAGTTTTGTGATGGTGAAGGATAAAAAATGGGAGAAATCTTTGAAATATGGATAAGATGTTGGAAAAATTTAAATATAGAGAAAAGTACATAAAAGGTACATGGGGTTTGGGCCATTTTCAGATAGGGGCACATGTTTTATTTTTTAACAAAGTGGAACATGTGTTTAATGGTAGAAAAATTAACTCCGGTTTTCAAAAGTCTTCGAAAAAATAATAGAAAAATCATGTGAGGTGCGCCTCATCAAGGAGACCAACAATCTATTGTTCTCTTTGGAATTTTTGGCTCTATTTGAATTATTTTTTTAAAATGATTTCGCTAATATCACTTTTCCGGTGGACTTTCTGGCGACAGAGTGGCTGCAAACAAAAACAGAAAGATCGTCTGGAGGTCTTCTTGATGAGGCGCAGATCTTAGTATTTTTCTTTTAATTTTTTGGAGACTCTTGAAAATCGGAGTTAATTTTTCAAACTACCTAAAAGGCCATGCTCCAGCTGTGATAACGGAATTGAAACACATGTCCCCCCACTTTGTTAAAAAATGAAACACGTGTCCCTATTTGAAAACGACCCAAACCACAAGTACTTTTTCTGTACTTCTCCCTTAAATATATTATGGTTAAAAATCGATATGCTTCTTACTATCTAACAATGGAGGATTGTGTTAGGTGAGAGAAGATGACTATTTCTTTTCAAATGTTTTAGTTTTGATTTGTGATCGTGATTTTATAATGTTTATTAACTTGAAAATTAAAATCCGTTGGCAGTTCTAAATTTCGATAAAGAAGTTGTGCTCGGTGTAATGAAAGTGTTTAAAAAATTAGTGAAACCCTAGAAGAACAATGGTCGTTAAGAAAACCATTTGCATGCAAAGGGATTGTTTCTATGGCTGCCGCTCAAATGGGTGCAATGTCCATGGAGGGCATTGATTAGTAGTAATTTCTATTCACAGATTTTAGAATCATCTGTTAATAGACTTTTAATTAAATACTAATAGTGGGACTAATGGCTATCTGACCTATCATCCTAAACATGCGTATATGGTGTGAATAATAATGTCTCACATTGCACTTGATTCCAACATACAATCTTGATAGAAACTAATCTTACAATATCAAACAAATTAACTATTTAAGTACAAGTCTTTTGAAATGGCACACATCATGCCTCAACACAAAAGAACCACTAAATGATCAAATGAGGTATTGGAGTTTAACCTATGCAAGAATGGTAGTAAGGATGACAATATCTATGTGTATCTCCAAGCGGGAGTTAAGCTCATACTCGGGAACACAATTACGTAAATTGTCATGTTTGCCACAATTTGAGTTCCAAATCGCGTGTCCCGGATCGCGGCACAGTAACGCACTACACGCCTCTAGGTTGTGACTTCGGTATGATGGTTTTCGTTCACAGTTTGCGCATATACTTCAAGTGGTACAAAATATTACACTAACCGTTCACATGTTTCCTCCAGCAAAACGACTACCTAACAATCCAACAGGCACATGCTTTGGTCAAGGACTTTTTTCTTCCAACTGATGTAGACTTTACTGAGCGGCTCTGTTCTTCCAAATGACGCACTATGCATTTATTTCTTTACATGATGATCCGGTTTTGGTTTTTTTCTTTATTTAATGTGTTCAACACTTACACCTTGATAAGCACGATAATTGCCTATATTTTATATAGGTAATTAGGATTATCTGTACAATTATTAAAAGATAAAACAAGTAAAAATTCCAATTTGAGCAAAACCGCACAAAGGCATCAAAGATAAACAAACGACAGTCAACGGGAAAAAGGGACCAAGAACCGGCACTTCGGGGTCAACTACGGATGTCGAACGAAGCGAAAAGCGAAATATAGCACAAAAGGTGTAAACCGGTGCCGGGTTACCCTTATAACCGGTGCCGGTTATGTGTTTTCGCAGCTAGAGTGGGATAACCAGTAGCTTAACCAGCGCTGGGTTACCCCTATAACCGGCGCCGGTTAAGCCCGATTTTGCTAAAACATAGCAACGTGCAAGAGGATTTTTTATGGGAAAACTCCATCTTCCTCATTTCTTGATCAAATATTGCTCCATACCTGATTGTTGGGCTAGAATAGACTAAAAGATGCCAATCTTTAGCCTATATAAAGCCCTCAATTCATCAAACAAATTCATTTCATTCCATAGATTAATTCTTAGCTTTTATATTTTTGTTCTTGGTATTTTCTTCAAGTTCTTGAGGAGGGAAGTTCATCCTCCGAAATCATTGGTGTTTAGGTATTATTTCCTTTCTAATTTCATGTTCCATTACATTTATTATTGTATTGTGATTAATATGAGCGTTAGTAGCTAATTTCTTAGCTAAGGCTAGGGATGAACTTCTATGCTCACTAGGTGTTTGTTAAAAGTTCTAAACCAATAAATTGTGATTTGTCCTTTATATATTGATTGTTTATGACTATGGTGTACAACATAGAAGTATGTTAAATTTAGTTTATACTTGGAATTAAAGTTGAAGTCTAAACTATGAACATTAAAGGATAAACATATATAGTACCGAGAATAGAAATATATCTGTTCTTATATGATACGGGTGTGATGTCTTGATATTCAACGGGGTTTTCGATAGATGAATGTAAGCCGTAACGGGCCCTTACACGTAACGAAAATCACGCTCTCGCTGCCTTAACCAGAGTTGAGAATATATTAGCAACATCGTATTCATAATTATTGGTAAAGAACTAATAACCAACCCTATTAAAGCATTTAAGTGATTCCCGAAGCCTTAGTTGTTGTTATCAATCACGTTAAACTCAAATAATTTAAGTTATATCCCTGAATATTAAAGAGAAGAACCAAGTTGTTGTTTTCACAACAACACACAAATCAAAATCCATGCACTTTACTCATTTCTTTATTTGAAGTTATCTACTCTCGGACTTGAACTAAACAACATTTCCTTATGGATTCGACCCAGTATTTTACCGGAATTTATTACTATATCGGCACTTGTATACAGGGGCGGAGCCACCATTGTTCAAAAGTGTTCACATGAACCCCCAAAAATTTGAAAAATGGCAAGTATAAGTAGGTAAATTTAGTGTAATTATTTATTGTTCTTTAACTTCTTTATTGTAAAAACAAATTGAACACCCAAAATGAAAATTCAAAATCCGCCACTGCTTGTATACTTGCAAGTTTAGCCCAGTACATATTTTTGGCGCCGTTGCCGGGGAAACGGTCTTGTTTAATAAAGTCCAAAGCAAAAAAAAATTTAAACAATCACTCAAATATCCTGAATTTATTTTACTCTTCACAAACTTCACTTGATCTTGGAAGGGTTTATTTTTGTGTGTGTAGATATTCATTTGTGTTTGCATGCATTTGAGAAGTCAAGGTTCTAAATTTCTTGAACCACTTGATCTTGAAATAGAAAAAACTTGCAAACACATTCGGAAGGAGCAAAAAGCCACAAAGATGATGCCCACACTAAACGAGAGGAAGAGGCCTGTTGTTGCACCTTCCCCATCTTGCATTGTACTAAGCGAGGAAGCAAGAGACTATGAACTAAAGCATAGCTACTTCAACGCTATGCCTCAGTTTCATGGGCACTCGGGGGAAAACCCACTGAACTTTATCACGGAGTTCTATGGGTTTATTCAAGGGATTCTAAGGAATAAGCTCACCGAAGATGATCTCAAGCTCAAATGCTTCCCCTATACTCTCAAAGGGGCAGCAAGAGGATGGTTCCTAGAGAAAACTCCAGCGAGCTACACAACATGGGAATGTATTTACAATGCATTCATGTCTAAATACTACACGCCTACCATGACTCAAGAGTTTAGACAACACATTTTCAATTTCAAACAACAAAATGGTGAGTTCTTTCAAGACACATAGAGGCGTTTCAAATCATTGCTAAGGGAATGCCCACATCACCGCATTCCCATTGACCTTCAAATTGACACGTTCTACAATGGTTTGAATGCACCTTGTCAAGCCATTGTAGACAACCGAGCCGAGGGCTACATTGGAAACAAGAATGAAACTCAAGCACTCTGAATCATTGAATCTATTGCCTCAATCCCCAACTTCAAGGAGGCGATTACAAAGGAGTCGGAATCAATGAAATCTCTATCACAACGGAGATAAACAAAAGACTTGAAGAAATGGAATCAAAGATTGAGCAAAAGTTCCAAATGGCTCTACAAGCCGTATTGGGAGGAGTCAAGCAAGTAGCCAATGTGGAAAGCATACTGACCGGGCTAAACTTGCAAGTGTACAAGTGCCGATATAGTAATAAATTCCGGTAAAATCGGGCTGAATCCAAAGGGAAACGTTGTTTAGTTCAAGTCCGAGAGTAGATAACTTTAAATAAGGAAATGAGTGAAGTGTAGGGATTTTGATTTGTGTGTTGTTGTGAAAATAACAACTTGGTTCTTCTCTTTAACTTTTAGGGATATAACTTAAATTAATTTGAGTTTAAAGTGATTGATAACAACAACTAAGGCTTCGAGAATCACTTAAATGCTTTAATAGGGTTGAATATTAGTTCTTTACCAATAATTATGAATACAATGTCGCTAATATATTCTCAACTCCGGTTAAGGCAGAGAGAGTGTGGTTTTCGTTACGTGTAAGTTCCGTTACGGCTTACATTCATCTACCGAAAACCCCGGTTAATATCAAGACATCAAACCCGTATCATATAAGACCGGATATATTTCTATTCTCGGTACTATATATGTTTATCCTTTAATGTTCATAGTTTAGACTTCAACGTTAATTGCAAGTATAAACTAAATTTAACATACTTCTATGTTGTACATCATAGTCATAAATAATCAATATATAAAGGATAAATCACAATTTATTGGTTTAGAACTTTTATCAAACACCTAGTGGGCATAGAAGTTCATCTCTAGCCTTACCTAAGAAATTAGCTACTAATGCTCATATTAATTACAAAAGTGTAACTAGCTTTTTAAATAGAGAGTAGGGCATAAGATTTATGCTAGCACCAAGGTCACAAACAGACCTTACCTCCCCGATTTTTTCAATAGAGCATGAAATAGTGAAGCTTCCGGGGTCTTTTAGTTTTGATGGAAGTTTGTTTTGAATAATGACACTACACTCCTCCGTTAGTGCCACATTTGTGAATTCCTCTAACCTCTTTTTGTTGGAGATGAAGCCTTTAAGAAATTTCGCATATGATGGAATCTCCGCAATGGCCTCTGCAAAAGGTATGTTGATGCTCAATTTCTTGAAAATATCAAGAAATTTCCGTGGTTGTAAAGAATTTACCTTGCTCTCTAGAACTCACTTTTTGGGCGAGTTGCCCCATTTGAACTTCAAGATTCCGGATGGATGTCTTGGTATATTGCTCGATGGTGTCAATGCGTTGATTGAGCTTCATATTTTGCTCTTCAAAGCGAAGATCCAACTTGGTGAATTGAGAGTGGAGATTCCCAATGGATGCCTCCACTCTACTATGATTCTCTTCATTTTGGGCCTTCATTTTGGGTTAAAGATACATGGTATCACAAGATGTTTCTATCATATCAGATTTGTGGTCTAATATCAAGCATAAACCCTTTATCAATGTGATTGAACTAAACAGGCACAGTGCAATCTTCATGTATGATGACGACTTCTCTAGATTGGAAAAAATTAGTGTGGCAATTGCAAATTTCGTGCTTGGAGCAATTGAAACCGTATGACTAAGCAATGTTCCTCAAGTTGTGATCAATAACATAGCGAATTGAAAAGTTGCGGGTATGGAAATTGAAAAGGTAAACAAACACATATTTTGGTCTCCTTATTGTGTTCATACCTTCAATTTGATTTTCAAAGATCTTACAAAGGAACTTGATTGGTTGGATGATGAATACATATTGGAGTGGGAAAGCAATCATGAAGTATTTCATTAATTACATCAAGGCATTGATAATGTTTAGAGATATTTCAAAGTTGGAGTTGATAAGGGATTATAGAGAGACTCTTGATATGACTATTTCCCTTAATTCTTGGAGGGATTGGGTAAACGCGGGGATGAAAACGGTAGAATGACTGGACTATTAGTTGCTGATACTATTAGCACTGAAGAATATTTAGATGATGTTGATAGGATTCTTGCAATAATAAAGCCAACTTTCTTGCTAATCAAGCTTTGTGATGGTGAAGGATTAAAAAAAAGAGAAATCTATTGAAAGGGGATAATATGTTGGAAAAAATTAAATATATTATTCTTAATAATTGATATGCTTCTCACTACTCAAAAATGGAGGACATTGTGTTAGCTAGGTAAGAGAAGGTTGACTATTCCTTTTCAACCGTTTCAGTTTTGATTTATCACTATGGTTTATGATTTTTATTAGGAAAAATTCACATTAATAATCCAAACTATTAAGGGTCTTCTCATATTAATCCCAAGTATACGTAATTCTAAAATAATATGAAATTCTTGGGTAGTCTTCTCATATTAATCTGCCATGACCTGCTACTTACTAAACAGGTAAATAAATTAAAAAAGAGAAGAAAAAGGAAAAGGAAGGAAAGTAAACGCATAGAGGGCGTACGACCGAAGCCTAGCCTTTGCCTACAGTCATCTTCCCCGTTTGCTTTTCTTTTCCATTCTGATGCAATTGACGGACAAGACACTAATAAGGAAGAACAGTTGATCGAATGATTGGGTTGTAGCCATGGTTTCCAGATCCACGATTGCTCTAACCATGAATTATTCTCCTCTATTATATTTCTTCATCCTTTTGTGTTCTCCATCCACGTCATATGATTATCGCCTTCCCACCTTCAAATACATTTTGATTTACTCCGTATTTAGATTTTCGGTCATGCTTAGATTTGAATTCTTTCTTTCAATTTCAGACGTGAAAAGTTAACTTGGTCAATCCAAACTCAAATTTGACATTGTTCATCATGGACGATCGACAAAAATTGAATATCAGTCGACTAGGATGAACAGACGGCAACGCTGAGACTGACAGTGACGGGGGCCGACATCAAAGAACAACTGGGTGGGGAGAGTGCAGACTTTAATTTTTAGTCCGAAAGTTCATGAACATTTAAGTAGGTGGATAGAAAGAGCGAAGCAGGACGGAAGAAGAAAAATGGGATGTGGCGAGAATGGACGAGCTGATGGGATGATGATGATGAGGGAGGTACGCTCTGTGAAGAGTAAAAAAAATCAAAAAGATTAAAAATTGTATAAAGCCAATAAGAACAAGACACATGGGCGGGGTGACCTGATAACCTAAATCATTCAGGTTACCGGCTCATTTTGAGAAGATGTCCTTCGTAGATTAGATTATATTGGAATTACTCATATTTGGGATTAATGATGTGAATTTTTACTTTTTAGTATCTCAAGAAATTAGCACTTAATGGCAGCTCTGAATTTTAATAAAGAAGTTATGCTAGGAGTAATGAAAGATTTTTAAAAAATTGATGAAACCATAGAAAAACAATGGTTGTTAAGAGAACAATCTGCAAAGTTTCAGAAGAAGAAGGGATTGTTTTCTATGGCAGCAGCTCAAATGCGTGCATGCAACTACGATGGAGGACATTGGTTGGTGGTAAACATATTGTTCAGACACACTGAATTAGTATAGGTTGCAAAAAGGTTCTATCACAACCTATAAGCAGTTCCTCGGCTAAGAGGAATTAGAGCACTTACTCTAAGAACCATAATGTGAAGAGAAATCGTTTGAATTGTAAAACGTATGACAACTTGATATTCATTCATTCATTCAAACATTCGTCTCCAATCCCAATTTCTTGAAACTTACAAAGTTGGCCCGCATAAAAGGTAGGACGTGAATCACAAAAGTACGTATGTGGAAGGTTCAAGTGCAAGACTAGATGAGCTGTAATGGGAAAATTTAGAATATGTCTCCATAAATGAGAAATGAAAGAGGTAGAGGATTAATTAATTTACTACAAAGTTTGTTGTCTGTTTTGTTGAAGCTTTGTATAATGTTTTATTGCAGTTGTTGCTACAAACTTTGTTTACTTCTACCTTCGTTCCAAAAAACTTTGCCATTTTACAAAATTTGGACCATGATTTTGATAAATATAATATTATTGGAAGTTATAAATGTTATAATTCTATAATATTTTGATTTTTCCACTTTGTGTACTTATTAGTCATGTTATTCATCTCAACAACACCAAGAACTATATCAGCATTCATCCCTAAACCTCTGCAGCACATGGGATGGGGCACTCCTTAGGGCAGTGGAGGATAGTGTAACACCCCGATCCCGCATGGTCCAAAGTATTTACTTCTACATACTTTCCAGACCTAATAATGTCCTGACAAACCATCACGAACATTTAACCGCACACTTTGTTCTGACTCATGCATGCCCTGGGAGACTTCCCATGGGTTACTCATCTCAAGATTGCTTAACTTGGAGTTCTTATCATATGAGTCCCTCAAAAGGAGATGCACTTTGTTGGTATGAGTTGTAGTATTAATCATTTTAAATTAATCTTAACTATTATAATACCCCCACTTAGGAACGCAACATCCTTTTTGCACCCGTAAGACACTCTCAATCAATCCCCACAGTCCTCCCCTGCTAAGTATTCTTCCGATATCTGGCGGATCAACAGAGTGTCGTATGGCAGCTCCGATACCACTTTTCACACCCCAACCCCACAAGGTCCAAGGTTGTTACTCCTACATACTCTCCAGATCTCGTATTATCCTCAGAAACCAACACGAACCTTTTACTGCGCACCTTGTCCTCACTCATGTGTGCCTTGATAGACTTCCATGGAGGCACTCATCCCAAGACCACTCCCGCACAATCATGCTTAATTTAGAGTTCTTAGCATATGAACTCCCTTGAAGAGAGATGCACTTTGTTGGTATGAGTAATACTATAATTCATTTTACATTAATCTCAGGTATTATGAATAGTGTAGTGGAGGCACATGCGGCGGGGCAACTGCGGTGACGGCTGGGGTAAAGTCCCTTGTTGTCCTCTTACAAAGACTCGAAAGTGTTACGAAGGAGAATGAACCAGAGCACCATTCCTATTTCTAAGCCTACAACTATTACTGGCGTTCTTGAATAGGAATAATGTTTTTGAATGGTTGCACTCACCGTTTAGCTTGTATCGGTGAATCTTGAAATATTACTACAAGAATTTGGGTGTTTTACCCACACATAAAATAACAACACATTCTATGTGTAAACAGTTAGCTACACATGAAATGCTAATGTGTGGGAAATAAACTAATGAAACAGAGACACGTTTAGTGTCATATATAATGTGTGAGCGGATATTTCTAGCACCATTTAAATTTCAGAGGGAAAAGTTTCTTTAAAATATTCATCTTGGCGGGTTGTGGTTTTTCAATTATAGTACTGTATTACGGAGCCAATTTTATAATTTGTAATTTCATGTGGATAATCATTACAGAGTAGCTTTTTAAAGTATATATAAATTTTAATTAGTGAAGATGTCAATGTAAAAATTAAGAAATAAAAACATACAATTCGACCCTGTCACACCCACAACTTTAAATTTCTTCATTCTCTCCACAACCCTTGAGTTTCTCTCTTCTTTTTTAGGCTGACGCTTGACGGCCGCCCAAACACAGGAAGATCAAAGAGAAGGGACTTCTTCTCCCTGTGAGTCAATGACGCAATAATAAAGATGAGGCTTTGATCTACTAGCAACGATTTAAGAAGAGGGATGTTTAGATTTCATTTGGTTTGGGTGATTGGTATATAATCAGTTCAAAATCAAACAATATACATAATTGTGTTTTAGAATCTATGTTATTATTCATATATAATCCATTTTCCTTAACCATCTATTTATTATTGCGTGACTCCATGTTTTTATTTCCCCATGTTGTTGTAAAATTTGTCTGGCGATGGTTAGAGAAGAATGAAGCCTAAATCGTCTAATTTGGGTTAGTCATTTATTTAATAATTCAATTCTAAAATATATTTACTTGTGTTGTAAACTCTACTTGACGAGTATGTGTTTTTCTTTCTTTTAAACTATACGGAATATATACATGTGTAAGTTTAGGTTTTCAATTTCTTTTTCTTAACAATTCTACACTTCTTGTGTTTGATGTTTTCGGTACTATATACAAAAAAACCTCAAATGTAATATGATGTTTCCAGAGTACTATAACCAAACTTCATTAATTAATTAATGTTTTGTTATGCGGAAATGAAGCACCGATATTTTCTTAATAGTATCATGTCTAGGCTTTCACTCGCTTTCTATTTAGTTTTAAAGGTAGGTTCTTCTTTTAGTTATGGGGCGTAAATTTGCAGCTTGACTTGGGTTTTGATTTCATGGGTTCTGTTTTTTAATTTTCAGGAAGCACACATTGGTTCAACAGCGAGGTAATCTTGATTTTTTTAATTTTTAATTTTTAAATTTCAAATTGGTTCAATATTGTTTTTTAATTTTTTAAAGTTCAAATTGGTTCTAATTGGTAGTCGTAATTTGTTGTTCTGTCAAATTTTTGGACTATTAA